ATTATTTTATTATTTATTATTATTATTATCATTTGTATTATTTTATTACAACCGCTGCTGTGGCTACCACTGCCAGGTAATTACTTACATATATTATTCTCTTTTTATTACTATATTATATTAATTTGTAAATTATGATTATTATTATCAGTAATTTAATTATATCAAGTTATAAGGCCAAAACTTACTGTTGAAGCGAGAGGTTAATTTTTGGTCTTTTTAAAAATTTGTCTCTTTACAGCTGTTTTAAAATTACAACAAATAATGTATAAATAATTTAAATAAAAGTTGGAATCATATTAGTCAGTAATTGGGGATTATGCTTCTCCCATATTTTGGGATATGAACAATTTCCAGTGGTTATCATTTGCAATTAAGGACAATTTAGACAATTTTTATACAGGCTAATTTGTGCATGGTACAGTACATTGATTTAACCATTAATTCCATTTAGACAGTTAGCATGTGCTCTTTATAGAACTGTAGCAATTTCATTTTTATAAGTGATTGAGAACACAATCACTGATGCATGATATTTTTGGTTAATTTATAAAATATGAATAAAACAAAATGCATTATTTAACAAAAAGTCAATATTTCTTCCCATGTTGTAGTTTCTCTTCCTAATATTTTCAAAAAAGTTGGGATATATGTATGCCACATAGTTAACTTTGTTGAAAAGCAAGTCTAAGATCAAATTATTACATCTTAATGAAAATGACCTTTACTGTAAATGTTTACCAATGTGCTGTTACAGGCCTTCACGGTAGTTGCTAAATACTGTACAGTGGTTTCAGCCGAGGTGGCGTGACTTGTATGGTGACACAACATGTATATACCGTCTACCTAAAAACATCACACATTGTGTGACCAATGTGCGGGCCAATGTGACGTTAGGGAGCGGACTGAGCCTTATGTTGCTGCTGCTGCTGCTGCTGCTGCTTTGGCTGAGTGACAGACGATCAGGGCCCATGATACCGAGTCCATTTCCAGGCAACTGGGCCCAAAGTATGTACGATCGTGTAGGTCTGGGCCCCTCTAAGCCTGCGCTAGGTAGGACCAGGAGGCCTCTTCTGTAGTATGAGGCCTAGCCAAGGCATAGTCCTAGACTAGTGTTTCCAGCAACCCGCAGCAATCTGTCTAGCAGTGGCGGCGCACCCTGCAAGCGGGGACAGGGGGACATTGATGCTTAAGGCCCCACAACCATCGGACAAGACAAGGGCCCCCCTTCCTTGAACTCGTCGGGCAGTCAGATAAAAAAAAATCAAATATAGGATAGGCTTACACCAAGCAAAAACATGTCTTCCACAGTCATAGAGTGCCATTTCCAGCGATCCAGAGGTCCCTACTTAAAAAAAACAATCTCATCTCCCAAACCCTCGCCCTCAGGCATACAAGCTCAACCCTCCTGTCGGACAGTGTAGTTCCCCCCCCCCCCCCACCAGAAAATGTATCCTAAATCAGCCACTGTCTAGGCCTTTGGGCCTAGGTATGCAGAATCTGGCTGAGGCTACTGAAAAATCTGCATTAAATAGCCTTTTAATTGTTATTTAATACATAACTTTTATATATAATACAAATTGCAATACAGACATTGGAAAGTTAATATATTGAATTTTAATTGAATTAATATTTAACATTCCATTCCCCTTCTCTTTTTGTGCAAGTTTGTAAAACACTAAAAATTAATAAATCTTAACTTCAGCATGAGTTATTTTGTAATAAAAGTTGTAATTTTAATTTATTAGGCCCATTTTCTCTTCCAGATAATTTCTTCATGGGATTAAAGTTGGAAAATCCACAGACTATTACTACAGTATTGTAGCCAATGAAATTCTTTTCATTTCTTTCTGTGATTACGGCCTAATCCCTACTGCTAGAATAAGACTAACTTGGCCTATGTATTATTTCACTCTGTGTAGACCCCATAAATTGATAATACTCCAGAGATCCTAATTTTGGAAAGAAAATCACACAGGAACAACTTATTTTTTTCTTACATTGGTTGTACCAGGGAGGAATGAGTTGCTGTGTTTTTTGCTGTGGTGTGTGATTATAGACAGTGCCCACTCTGTGTCCAGTCGAGGACGAACTATAGCTGAAATTATGCATGATGTCAAAATACGAAGCCATGCCCACTGGGCTCAATCAATTGTATAAGGGGTGGCCCTTATAGCAGTGGTGGCGCCAGAGGGGGAGCTGGGGAGGCTATAGCCCCCCCGTCAGGGAAGACGATGAATTTTGTCGGGGAATAAACAAATAAAAAAAATATATTTACATGTAATATTTGTTTAGCGACCATACTGTTTGTGTTAATTTTTAATCACAACAACAACAACAATAATAATAATATTATAATAATAATAATAATAATAATAATAATAATAATAATAATAATAGTAATAATAATAATAATAATAATAATAATTAAATGAGACTAATTAAAAATAATTTGCATTCTGTTATGACAAATGCTCATTTAGATAGCCTCATGATGGTTGGAATACATCGTGATAGGTGAAGCAACCTCGACCATGACAGCGTGGTTGACAGATTTCACGTAAAATTTCCAAAATATAGAATTTCACTTTCAAGAATGAGGATTTGAAAATAAATTAGATGGTTACATCGCATACTCTTTGTTTCTTGCTTTATTCAAAATGTTTTGGTTTTGGAAGCTGATTTCAACATTAGAAAGCATAGCCTACATGAAGTCATATTATAATAACTCGATGCCTATCAAATAAGTAATAGAAATTCGCCATAATTCATCAAATATCCGTGGCTTCCAGGGGGCTTCGCCCTCTGGACCCCCACTGGGGGCATTAGACGGCCACCTGGCCCCCAGTCAAGTGAGACTCGATTCGCTCCACTAGCCCCCCGTCGGGGCCTTTAGCCCCTCCGTCGGGCAGGTCCTGGCGCCACCACTGCCTTATAGATTGGGGGCCCCTGGAGTTCGGGGGCCCAGGTTCAATGAACCTGCTGAATTTGCGGTAGTTACGCCAATCTGCGCGAGGAGATGAGAAACTATTAATTTTTTTTATTTGGCCTTAAGTGGAAATTCTACTGTAAGATTCAGCAACCATGCCATTATTCCAAATTTTGAGTATGGAATTAGAAATTGTGGCTGGGCCCAACAATTTCAACAAATAAAAACTATCCCCACCAGACACGTCTCTGTGACCCAGAATTATAATTATGATAGACTGAACTACTGA